AAATTTCCATTTGTGAATTATAGACTGATCTATTTGTTTCCCCTCTCCCCCCTTCAGTTCATGATGTTCTCTGTATTCACAGAAAACATTTTAGGAAAAATAAATTCTTACATGTAAACTAAAGTAGGTTCAAAGATAATTAACTTCACAAAAGTAAAATTGAATAAAAGCATATTCACATGCTATTTAGATGAGTAATTTTAAGAAAAAAATAAAGAGAACTTCAGATTTATAGTTTGCTTAAGAGAAACAAGCAACAAATAGAATCAAATCTATAAAGTAGAAATTCATTATACCTCAATAGGAAATAAAAGCAGTGAATATAAAAATACAGTAAAAAATGTAAAAACTGGGCTGGGAAGGTGGCTCTGTGGTAGAGTGCTTGCCTTGCATGCCTGAGGCCCTGGGTTCGATTCCTCAGCACCACATAAGCAAAAAGAAAAAAGCCGGAAGTGGCGCTGTGGCTCAAGTGGTAGAGCGCTAGCCTTGAGCTGAAAAGCTGAGGGACAGCGCCCAGGCCCAGAGTTCAGGCCCCATGACCGGACCCAAAAAAAAAAAAAAAAAGTAAAATCTTTTATATTGAAGTTTCTGTATTTTTAGTATGCAGTAATTAAACATAGACTACACATTCCTACCAGATAAAAATAGGGACTCAGTACTAAAAAGTAGGAAAAGAAGTAGTTGCTGTGTTTTCTTTGGAGGAATTTATTTTAAAAATGTATATACAGATAAGTCAGGATTGCATTAATATTAGTTTTTGTAGGATGTCAAACTATTTCTTGTTAGTGATAAGAGGACTGAAAGAGCTTTATAGATATTTTATGTACATTTTTATTCCTTGGGATATATTATATGATACTTTCCTAGGAATCCTTGGAATTGAGAAATTTAAAATGTTGGTGGTTGATGAAGTGGTAGTGGTTCAGGTGGTAGAGCAACCTAGCAAGTGTGAGGCCTTGAGTTCAATACCCATTAACACCAATAAATTATAAAGAAAGAAAAAATAGGTATCTAAAATGCTTTTAATATTATTTTAATATATTTATATTTTAATTAGATTATATTAAGAATATTTTTATTCTTGGTAAATTTATAGATTATGTACAAGTAGGTGAAGTAGGAGAAAAATGAAGGAAGGGTAGCAAGTTTGACAAGAAATGTACTTATTACCTTACTTATGTAACTGTAACCCCTCTGTACATCACCTTGATAATAAACTAAAAAAAAAATTTTTTTTTTTTTGGTCCAGTCGTGGGGCTTGAACTCTGGGCCTGGGCGCTGTCCCTCAGCTCTTCAGCTCAAGGCTAGCACTCTACCACTTGAGCCACAGCACCACTTCTGGCTTTTTTCTTTTTGCTTATGTGGTGCTGAGGAATCGAACCCAGGGCCTCAGGCATGCAAGGCAAGTGCTCTACCACTGAGCCACCTTCCCAGCCCCCTAAAATTTTTTTTAAAAGGAATTAATAGAATACTCTGGGAAATAGTCAGTAGTTATTTCTAAACATAGTTTTTTTCCTTGGATTATATGTTATTTTAATGTTTATTTGAAGAATTTTGTGTAAATCCTTTCTTTTTTCTTTAACCTATATTTATTTGCCAATTTAGCTTGTATAATTCAGTAAATATTTCCAATTTTTAGCTTCTGGCTGTAAGTTTAAGTTCCCATGATCCTTACTTTGGGTTCAATTAACGTGCTAGGATAATTCACAGAACCCAGGGAAGTACTTCTTATTATAAAGGATTATAAAGGATATTTTAAAGGGTACAAATGAATAGTTTTAACAAAGAAATATATGGAGCAAGGTGTAGATGGATGATACTGAGCACAGAACGTCTCTGTGGTGGTTGGATGCATCTCTCTCTGCCCCATGAATGTGTTCTTGTTCACTTCCTTAGAAGCTTCTGAACTCAGGCTTTTGGCTTTTTATGGAGGCTTCATTTTATAGGCATGATTGATTAAATCATTGGCCACTGGTGACCAGCTTAACCTTCCTCTCACTTCCTTCCTCAGTGGTGAGAGGATGGAGTTAATTCTGTTAATTCTCACCCTTTGAGCACATGGTTGGTCCCCTGGCAACCTGCCATTCTTTGTGTGGTTATCTAGCGACTTCCTCGATTTCTTTTTTCCTTTATCACTCTGAAGCAAAGGGCCAAAATTGTAACTAGAAATATTTTTTCCTTTTTTAAAATTAATCAACTTTTATGTTTTTTGAACAGTTTCAGGTTCACACTAGAAGTGAGTGGAGTTCCTATATCCCCTGTCCCTACGTACCAATAACCTCCCCGACTACCAACATCAACCATTGGTATGCTTGTTACATGCAGGAACCCACATCCATACATCATACCACTCAAACTCCATGGTTTATAGGGTATGGCTTGTTTATTATATGGGATTTGACAAATGGGTGATGTAAGGTATCCATCAGTGTTCACTGACCTAAAATTCCTCTGTATTCAGCCTATTTCCCCCCATAATTCCTGGCAAACATTGCTCCTTGCACTTCTCTCAGGTTTTTGGAATTGTTACTGGTTTTCACAACCACCCAGGGTAGGAAATCTTGTTTGACCTTTGAAGAACCTGAGACTCAGGAGGGAGATTCCTAGGGTTTAGTTAGGGCCTAGTCAGTTGGCCACCCAGACTCTATGCCTGCACCCTGGTATGAAATGTTTTCCTGAAGGAGATAAAGCCAGTAAAGGTGTGAGAACCATGCAAGAACATTCAGGCTGCATAGGACTGCCTTGCCCTGACCAGAAATACTCTTAATGATCTAGTTGTTTAGGAGTTAACGAAACTCTTAAGTCAGGAACCTGAGATGAACCAAAAAATAATAAAATGCTGTTGAATTCATTATTGGTTTTCATACAAACTTTCCATCTGTCATGGACAGGGATCTCTGAGATGTTCTGCATTCTCATGCGTGATTCAAAAAGGATGGATGGGGAAGCAGCTTTATAGAAATACAAGCTCACAGCATTTGTGCTGTATGCTTTGTGTATTCCACTGCAAATATTGCATGCTGCCTACTTATATTTCTCTGAAAATCAAGAACATAGACACACACATTTATTTCATTTTTGCCAATAGTTGGAACAGATGGAGGAATGTTTGGCACATCTTTTCTATTTTTTTTTTCTAAAATGAATGTGGTAGTGTTTTTCAAGAAGCAAGGAAAAAACTTTATACTTAAACCCAAAGTGGCTACAAATCAGCTCTTAAACTGTCACTGACATTAGCATCTAGATTTTGTAGTTTTTACAAGTCTTTTAAAATATTTATTTACTAAGAAAACATTGCATTAATGCATGATACAAAATTGATAGATTTTTTTTTTCTTTAAATTGGAATGCAGTTTAAAAGTGACTGAATTTTCTAATTTCAGCTACTGCATTTGACAAGAATACAACCTGGAAAATGGAACTGGTATCATCTTTTTCCTCTAGGTTCTTTGACTTATAGTAGTTGGGTAAACATCTTTCAAAGTGGCATTATGTAGATCACATTTTTTAGTATTTTTTAATATTTATCATAGTGCTCTTAATAACAAAATGTCAATTGTAGATAATTTACATATTTTGATATGTTTTTAATTAAAAATAGCTTTGGCTTTTGATTATCTACAAATTGATATTCCTACATTTTATTCTTTATAACTGATGTGTGTTTTGTAATTTCAGTAATGGCACATCTCAAAACTGTAATAACTGCCATAGATAGCAGTTAAATTTAAGTATTTTAGTTGTCTGACACATTACCTATTTTTATGTGTATGATTATAAATCTTTTCTATTTTACATCAAATAAATGATATTTTTAAAGTATTATAAGTAATGACTGTCAGCCTACATTTTAGTGTGCCTCCAAGGCTAAGAGTTAAAGGTTAAGATTAAAGTAATATTTTCAATATTACTACTTCTAGTTGCCACTCATCTGAAAAGATCTGTTTATATCTTCTTTTTTGCTTACCACATAATAGATACATGTGGTTTTTTTTTTTAATTTGATGTGCTCCAGAGATTATTCTTACTGTTTAACAAACCAGTAAGATTTGCTGTTTATTATATTAGGAAAGTGTGTTAATGGTCACAATTACACAGATCCTTTGAAAGAGAAAGGTAATGAACAGTGGCAACCAATTTCTGAGCACATAATCAAGTACTTTAAAAAGAGAAATCCATCTAATAGTCTTTTACTCTGCTTTTTATTCAGTCTTAAAGAATGGATTTTAGACCTCATGATTTTAAAATGCCACTTCTAAGTTCTGGAGACTCTGAGTAGTTAACTTGTTTATTTTCTACAACCCAGCATATTCCAAATCAAACTGTTTTCATCTTTTTCTCATAGATTTTACAGTCAATCATAGTGACGGTACCAGTTCCATTTTGCCTCCAATTCAGTTGATTATATATTTTTCTATTTATTTCTCATTTTATAATTGATATCTGGAATAATCAGCAGCTCTTTTCTCATTTATTTTCTCATATTTTTATTCCAGGATTTGCCTCTGAAGCAGGGAGTGTCTGCATTAAAAATGACCTGTAGTTCTCTGCTTCATAGGTTAGAAACTTATTTTAATATTTTGTGGCTAAGCACAGTCCCACTTCTCAAATTTTATAATGAATTATTTAATTGGCATTGAATGTGGACCACAAGAATATTTCATATTGGGGTTTTCTTTATTATTTTAAATGATTAAAATTCAACAGAACATCCAGCTGAGGCAATAAAAGCTTTGTTCTTGCTTTACAGCTTAAAACACTAAATTAGATTTTTTTAAATCTATTGATTATAACACAAAATGATGCTATTTGAGCATTTAAAAAATTACATTTCTTAGGCCTTTTATCGCTTGAAGCATTTATATTCTAAAACTTAACCAAATTCCAACTATTCATTTTGGGGAAAACAATCTGTTTACAAATCACATTTTCAATGGGACTGCTAGCCAGCACAGGTGAAAACATGTATAGTGTATTTACTCTTGAATTGTACACTGCAGATGCTTCTTCAGCTCCCTCCTCTTCCTCCATGGGCGGTGCTTGCAGCTCCTTTACCACCTCTTCCAGCCCTACCATTTATTCTACCTCAGTCACCGACAGCAAGGCTATGCAAGTGGAGAGCTGCTCCTCAGCCGTGGGGGTAAGTAACAGAGGGGTAAGTGAAAAGCAGTTAACCAGTAACACAGTTCAGCAGCATCCATCAACCCCGAAGAGGCACACAGTTTTGTACATCTCACCACCACCCGAGGACTTGCTGGATAACAGTCGGATGTCCTGCCAGGATGAGGGGTGTGGATTGGAATCTGAGCAGAGCTGCAGTATGTGGATGGAGGATTCCCCCTCCAACTTCAGTAACATGAGCACCAGTTCCTACAATGATAACACAGAGGTACCTCGTAAATCACGAAAACGAAATCCAAAGCAGAGGCCTGGGGTCAAACGACGAGATTGTGAAGAATCTAATATGGATATATTTGATGCCGACAGTGCCAAAGCACCTCACTATGTGCTTTCTCAGCTTACTACGGACAACAAAGGCAACTCAAAAGCTGGAAATGGGTTGGTATTCATATTTTTTTAAAGTTCTATCACCATTATGCAAAACAAAAGAAATAAATCATTCCCAACTTTTCTTAATTGTTCAGTATAAGTGTGCATATAAAGCAAAGATGCTAAGTTTATCATTGAAATACACAAAAACTTAAAATAATCAAATTTTGCAATACAAAAAAAATAACAATAGATTATAGCAATAGATACCTTTGAGGTATAGTGCTAGTAGAAAATGAGAGTAAACTGCTTTGAAATAAACTTTAAATTTCAAATGAATTTGTATTTTAAAAGGATTTTTTAAACATTTTTACTTACAGAAATAAGTAGCATTGTGATAGGTATAACTAAAACAACTTAAAAACCTTCTCCAAAAAGTAATTTGTTCTCTTTATAGTGCATCTTCATATAGTTTACTCCCATTACATTTTGAGAGGATTTTAGGTCTTATTTTTGTTTTTTTCTTTTCACTTGATGAAGGCAAGAACAATCGGTATTAATGGCTTGTCTCATCACTTATTTAGGTTTATGTGTTCTAAACTTTTTTTCTTTGATATGTTATTCCAGATGAGGATTTGTTTTTTAGAACCATTTTTCCCCTTTGTGATTCTGGGTTACTTGAAGGGTGAAGGAGCCAGATCATGGTGCATATTTGAGTTTGCATTTATCTGTGTAACTTACACTCTTCTCAGGAAAGATATTTCATAGCTGTATTACAGATTATTCCCTGCTACAGTGCAGGGATATATTTTAAACTGTAAGTTCTTTAGTAATTTAATTTAATAGTTAATTGTTAGAGTTTTAAAAGTAGCTTTTCCTACAATATATAGTCAATACTGTTTAGTAAATTTCACTGGATTTTGAAAATTTAATTTTTTGGGAGGCAGAGTATAATCTTTTTTTAAAAAGTTAACCTTTAGTGAGTCCCTTATAATTTCAGCCCAAAAAGTTCAGATTGATTTACTAAGTTAGGACACCATAATCTCTCTTACATTAAAATCTGGTTGAATGTTACAATCTTCTTACATATTAACTTTTTCCTTAAATATTTCCTCTGTACATTTTTAAAGTAATAACCATCATATAAGCTAGAAGATTCATACTATTTTCCTTTATAATTTTCAGTTTAACTCCTTTAGGATAATAGAGTTAAATAAAAATGCACATTTAATTTTTTCAGTTTTAGAAAGTACAAATTAATAAGTTTCCAAAAGGAAAATAGAATATTACCTTTCCTAAAATGATGCTACTTAACACAGTCAAGAATTTCAGAATATACATATAGAACTAATAAATACAAGACTATGAAACATAAAACCAGAAGTCACTAAAGTAAATATGACTAGTAGCACAGATCTAAAAGGTTCATGAGTACCATTAAATCCATGTGTGTTTTTGAGTTTCAACAGAAGAAGGTATAAAGTTACAAAGAGCTTTTCATTCTTCTAAAATAAATGACAAAGATTCCAATTAAAATTAAGTTTAAAAAAAAATTTGTGCTGGTATTGGAGCTTAAACTCAGGACGTTTCACTTTGCTTTTTTGCTGACAGCTGACACTACCAGTTGAGTCATAACCTCTAGGAAGATTTTTTTTTTTTTCCTCGCGTGCGGTCGTGGGGCCTGAACTCTGGCCTGGGCGCTGTCCCTCAGCTCTTCACCTCAAGGCTAGCACTCTACCACTTGTGAGCCACATTGCCACTTCCGGCTTTTTTTTTTTTCCTGCTTATGTGGTGCTGAGGAATCGAACTCAGGGCCTCATGCATTCAAGGCAAGTGCTCTACCACTGAGCCACCTTCCTAGCCCTCTAGGAAGATTTTTTTACTGGTTACTTGGAGAGCGTCTCGCAGGCTTTTCTGCTTGGGCTGGCTTTGAATTGGGATCTTCAGATCTCAAGCCTCCTACAAAATTAGGATTACAAGGGAGCCAACAATACCTAGCCAAGAGCAAGAGCAAGTAAAATTTTAACTTAGGGTTAGTTTATACAATGATACATTGCTGCTGACCTAAAAGGGATATTCTCTGGTTAGAAAAGATTTGAGGTTACCCAGTTGAAGTATAAAGGTACTGGTCAAGACAAAAATCTTTCATTAAGATAATTATTGGAAGCAGAAACTCCATCAAGCAGCAGAAGAAATGTGCATTTTTTGACCCTAGTATGGAAATTATAGGGAAATTAAAATTTTTTAGTTATAAAAAATATATTCAAGCCGGGCGCTGGTGGCTCACGCCTGTAATCCTAACTACTCAGGAGGCTGAGATCTGAGGATCACGGTTCAAAGCCAGCCCGGGCAGGAGAGACCGTGAGACTCCTATCTCCAATAAACCACCAGAAAACCGGAAGTGGCACTGTAGCTCAAGTGGTAGAGCACTCGCCTTGAGCTGAAGAGCTGAGGGACAGCGCCCAGGCCCAGAGTTCAAGCCCCACGACCGACCAAAAAAAAAAAAAAAAAAAAAAAAAAAAAAATATATATATATATATATATATATATATATATATTCAAGAAAGAGGCTGGGAAGGTGGCTCAGTGGTAGAGTTGCTTGCCTAGCATGCATGAAGCCCTGAGATTGATTCCTCAGTACCATATAAACATAAAAAGCTGGAAGTAGCACTGTAGTTCAAGTGTTAGCCTTGAGCAAAAGAAGCTCAGGGACAGTACCTAGGTCCTGAGTTCTCAAGCCCCAGGATTGGCAAAAAAGAAAAAAATGTATTTTTAGGAAAGAATGAACCACATGGAAAAACTGGTCTCAATTTTTTTTTTTTTTTTTAATGTGTGTGCCAGTCCTCATGGCCTGGGCTCTATCCCTGAGCTTGCTTTTGTTCAACATTAGCATTACCACTTGAGCCATTAAAATTTAATTTGCTTCTTTTTGTTCAAGGCTAGCACTCTACCACTTGAGCCACAGCACTACTTCCAGCTTTTTCTGTTATGTGGTACTGAGGAATCGAACCCAGGCTTCATGCATGCTAGACAAGCACTTTACCACCAAGCCACATACCCAGCCCAACGTTTAATTTTTTTTTTCTTTCTGCTTATGTGGTGCTGAGGAATCGAACCCAGGGCCTCAGGCATGCAAGGCAAGCGCTGTACCACTGAGCCACCTTCCCAGCCCCCCAACATTTAATTTTTAAAAATGGATTTCTCCAACTTTTTGGAGGTTAATTGGAGACAAGAGTCTCATGGACTTCCTTCCCCAGACTGGCTTCAAACCACAATCTCAGTTTCCTGAGTAAACAGGATTACAGGCATGAGCCAGCACTGGCTTCAAATAATTTTGCATTCCTAAGCTAATTACAATTTCAACAATGAGAGAAATGCTAGCAACATGAAATTTTAAAATATTTTGCAATAAAGTTACATTTTATATACCATAATTTGTCATTTATATAATACTGAGTAGTTAGAAAATAAACTTCCAAATATAGTGTATATAGCAGTTTTTCTTCAAGATAGTACATAGAAATGTACATGCCCCTTACCCTGTGAGCTTGTGGTGGAGCTTGAGTTCAGGTCCTTACTCCCAAGTCAGGTGTTCCACTATTTGAGCCACACCTCCAGTTCTAGAATTTTAGATGGTGGAGATAAAGAGTATCACAAATTTGTCTGTTGGTGCTGCCTTTGAATCAAATACTTAGATCTCAGGCTCCTGAGTAGCTAGGAGTATAAGTGTGAGCCACCAGCACCTAGCTCCCCTATTTTTTTAGCCTGTGTTACTTGTACCAAGAAGTTTCATTGTGATATTACCATATATGCATGCATTATTCCCTAAAGAAGTCTTTTTAACTTGTAGAAAATCTATTTTTTTTAATAAAAAACCTAATGTTGTTTATTAAGGAAAAACCTGTTTAAAAGAAAAATTTGGAGCCGGGCGCTGGTGGCTCACACCTGTAATCCTATTCAGGAGGCTGAGATCTGAGGATCATGGTTCAAAAGCCAGCCAGGGCAGGAAAGTTCACGAGACTCTTATCTCCAATAAACCACTAGAAAACCGGAAGTGGTGCTGTGGCTCAAGCAGTAGAGTGCTCACCTTGAGCTGAAGAGCACAGTCCGCCCAAGCCCAGAGTTCAAGCCCCATGACCGACCAAAAAAAAAAAAAAATTTGGCATTTAAATATTCTGCTATGTTATTCTTCAGTTCTTCAACTAAATATCCTGAACAGTTAGTCCTATAAGTCTTCTAGATATTCCTAGAAGATAAGGTATGATGGCATGTAGATGAAAAATGTATTTTAGACATTTTATAGTGAAAATTATTTTTGTAAACAACCACAGAAGGATTATCTAGCATAAAGAATGACTTATGAATAGAGCATTCCACAACAGTGCATTTTCCTTTTTAGTTGTCCTTTATAATTAAGCTGGGGGCCGATGGCTCTTGCCTGTAATTCTAGCTACACAGGAGACTGAGATCTGAGGATCGCGGTTCAAAGCCAGTCCAGGTAAGAAAAGCTGTGAAACTCATCTCCAATAAACCACCAGAAAACCAGAAGTGGCACTGTGACTCAAGTGGTAGAGTGCTCGCCTTGAGCTGAAGGACAGTGCCCAGGCACAGAATTCAAGCTCCATGGGCTAGGAAGGTGGCTCAGTGGTAGAGCGCTTGCCTTGCATGCCTGAGGCCCTCGATTCGATTCCTCAACACCACATAAGCAAAAAGAAAAAATCCAGAAGTGGCGCTGTGGCTCAAGTGGTAGAGTGCTAGCCTTGAGCTGAAGAGCTGAGGGACAGCGCCCAGGCCCAGAGTTCAGGCCCCATGACCAGACCCAAAAAAAAAAAAAAAAAAGAATTCAAGCCCCATGACTGACAAAAAAAAAATTCTAGCATAAGGTTATCTCCAACATCATAATCAATAAATAGTTACTTTTTTTCCCTTATGCTATTGTACCTTAAGAATTAGTTTTTCTTTTTTAATTTTATTTGTGAACATACTGTACAGAGGGGTTACAATTTCATGGGCAGGATAATGCGTACATTTCTTACCAAGCATTGCAGCCTCCTCCTTTGGTTTACCCTTCACATCCCTTCCCAGCCTCCCCCCTCCCCCCCAATCCCAATCCTTCTCCTTCCCCCCCTTCCTCCCCCGCCCCCCCCCCCACGTTGTAAAGAATTAGTTTTTCATGCCTATAGATAGACCTAAATATATCTACTTTTTATTTTTACAATTTAAACTTAGAAAATAAAGATTTTAAAAGACTTTTCAAACATTATTTCTAGACTAAATAGGAAAAATATGAATTGAAAAACTCAGACGTGGAGCTGTAGCTCAAAGTGGTAGAGTATTAGCCTTGAGCAAAAGAGCTCAGGGACAGTGCCCAGGCTGGGCACTGAGCAATGACAAGCTTAGGTCAAGCCCCATGACTGACAAAAAAGAAAAGAACAAAAGAAAAAAACGCATTTCAGAAACTACTTAATTCCATGTTCTATTCCTTTTTATGCCTTATTGTATACTTTGTGAACTCATCCAGTGGTCTTCATTCTAAATAAGATATTTTGTTTACCTGGAATAGTAAAAGTTATTTTCATTTATTTACCTTCATGAAATACTAGCTTGCCGAGCTTAAATGAGTATACAAATCTTATCTGGCCAACTTATTGGATGTGCCACACATGTTTTCCTTATATTTCAAACTTAAAATTCCCCCTTTTTTGTTATAAAGCTGATATATATGAATTATAAATACTTGAAAAGTACAAGGAATTAAATAACTTGTAATCCAGCTATTCAGTACAACTTTTATTGCCATTTTGCTATATGCAATCCTTTTTTATGTGATTGTGAGGGATATTTTACATAGTATCAACAAATTAAGTTTTTACTTTGATAATGATGAATATAAAACATTATTACAGGTTTGTTTTTTTTTCCTCATGCCAGTCTTGGGGCTTGAACTCAGGACCTGGGTTCTATACCTGAGCTCTTTTTGCTCAAGGCTAGTTTTCTACTGTTTGAGCCACTTCCAGCTTTTTGGTGGTTAATTGGAGATAAGAGTCTCAGGGACCTTTCTGCTCAGTCTGACTTCAAACAGCAGTTCTCAGATCTGGGCCTCCTGAGTAGCTAGGATGACAGGAATTTCATATGAAGAATGGCACACTATTCAGGCCAACAGACTTGAATTTGCCCCCAAATGATTTAAAAAAAAAAAAGGCAAAATTTCTTGCCCACTTTTCCAGACATAACTTGATATTTTCATAAAATTCTTCCCAAGTCTTTTAAAAAATAACTTATACAGGTAATCTTCGATTTAATTATGACATTTTTATGACTGGCATTTGTCCAGTTATGATCTGGTGACTTTCTCTTCCTTTCCTTTTCTGTCTCTTTGAGGTTTATGTAAAAGCTCAAAACACACACACACACACACACTCCCAAAAAAAAAGCTCTGTTTGCTTTTATCATCAAACACTTCACTTCTGTTGTGTTTTGTGAATTTATGAAGACAAGCACAAGACTTGCTCTGAAAACTTTTCCTTTTGCCTAGTAACTTACTGCTTCTGTGTCAGTTCCATACCTGCTTTCCTTCATTCTTCTGTCCTTTCTTAGTAGTCGGGGTTCAACCCAGTTCCCATTTTTATTGAGGTCACTGTCTTTCTTCCCTTTGTTCCTGATGACCGAGTCAACAGCTTGTTTGTTTTTTTTCACCTGAAGCAGTAAACATTAGAGCCAGGTTTTAAGGCTTTTTAGTTTGTCTTCACTTGGAGTCATAATATTTCTCCTCTGACCTGGTTACTTTCAGAGATTTTGTCCATAGTGTCTCCTGATTTCAAAATCCTTAATGTGAAATCAAGACATGATAGATCTAGCATTAGAAATGTACTTTTAAAAATAAATGTACATTAATAATTTAAATTTTTATGTTGTTCAACAGTATTATTACTATTTTCATCACATATTTACAATGTTGTGGTTAACTTTACAAATTAAATATACTAGCCTCAAGTCCTAATAGTGATTTTGGATATTGTCTGTTTTTGAAGATACATTCAGTCCTTATAACAAAAATATTAAAAACAGATGTTTAAAAATTATTTTTAAATAACATGTATTGTCAGTACTGTAAAGCCCAGATTGTTAAATTTTTATTTAGGGATTTAATCATTTAAGCAATCACAAAGATAATCTGAAAAAAAAACAACATAATGCTAGGGAATGTTGTTAGAGTAGAGATTGTTTCTAGAGTAAAACTAATTTCCCATAGAATCACATTTTTTAATTATAAATTTTTCTTAGTGATTTACCAAGGAGGAGATCCAAAAGAATATACTTAATATATTTTCATTGTTGTTGGCTTCTTTAGGTGTGTGTATATATGTATGTTTTTGCTTCTCCTACTTTTTTCTTTTGCTTTGCAAATCTGATTAGAAAGTAAAATACTATCCAATTTTGGTGGTTTAATCCTCTAATCCCAACACTGGGTGGGCAGAGACTAGAGGATTTCAAGTTCAAGGCTGATTTTGGCAATATAGTGAATTTAAGGCTAGCTTGGGCTGCATAGCAAGATCCTGTCCCCAAAATACAGGGAAAAAAAGTAGTAATAGTTCACCTGTGAGCTTTATATAAACTCACATATATGTGTAATTTAAAATTTTTCTTTTGTTCAGCAATGTGAAAGATTCTAGTTTATTGTACTCTTCTTCCTTCCTGCTTTTACTCAAATGCATTCTTTTTCTTTCCTGTCCAGTTTTTTATATTATAAGCTTTATGGGTTGTGTTTTTGTTTGTGCTGGTCCTGGTGCTAGAACTCAGGACCTAGATGCAGTCCCTGAGCATTTCTGCTGAAGGCTAGTACTCTACCACTTGAGCCATAACTCCATTTCTGACTTCCTGGTGGTTTAAGTGGAGATAAGAGTCTCACAGACTGTCTTGTTCTTGTTGGCTTTAAACCACAATCCTCAGATTCCAGCCTCCTGATTAATTAGTTAGGATTATAGGCATGAGCCACCAGTGCCTAGTGTCTGGCAAACTTTGTTAAATTTTGAAGATACTTGGGTTATGGAATGTTTCTTCCTTGAGGCTGTTTTATAAGTAAGCTAAGTAGTTGTATTTAATGTTATAGCCTATTCTGTTTCTTTATCTTAGATGGCTTACCTTATTAGAAAAGTGTTTTTGATATTTTCTTCATGTTGTGCTTTTATTTCTCAGAACATTGGACAACCAAAAAGGAACTGGAGTAAAGAAGAGCCCTATGTTGTGTGGACAGTATCCTGTTAAAAGTGAGGGAAAAGAGCTGAAGATAGTTGTACAGCCTGAGACCCAACACCGAGCTCGTTATCTGACTGAGGGCAGCCGAGGCTCAGTGAAAGATAGAACACAGCAAGGCTTTCCTACAGTAAAGGTGTTTATTTTGCTTAATAGTACATAAATTTTTTTCTAGTTTTACTATTTAAAATTTTTATTTTATGTTGTATTACATTTTAAACTCAGGACTTTTTGCACTCTACCACTTGCGCCACTCCCCTAACCTAATGATTATTTATTTTTTAACTTGGGCAAAAGCTGCCTAAAGCAGAAAAGGCAACATTATTATCTCTGTATAAGAGAGAATGGACTTAAAGGGCTGGGAAGGTGGCTCAGTGGTAGAGTGCTTGCCTCACATGCATGAGGCTCTGGGTTCAATTCCTAAGCACCACATAAGCAGAAAAAGCCAGAAGTGGCACTACGGCTCAACTGGTAGAGCGCTAGCCTTGAGCTGAAGACCTGAGGGATGGCATCCAGGCCCAGAGTTCAGGCCCCACAACTGACAAAAAAACAAAACAAAAAAGAATACTGAAAGTCTAATTGGCTCCTAAGCCAAATATTACCTTGATAGTCATTTAATTTTAGTTTACATAGCGATGAGATGTTTTGAAAAATAAAAGTGTTTACTTTTACCAGCTCCAAACATTGTTTTTAAGAAGAATTAGGCTTCAAACTCTTCACATGCTTGCTTAACTGGTGCTCAACCACTTGAGCCATTTCTCCAGTCAAGCATTTAACTGATTAATTGGAGTTGTAATCTCACAGACTTTTCTACCCAGACTGGCTTCTAACTTTGATCCTCTACATCTCAGCCTCCTGAATTTCTAAGATTATAGGCATGAACACTATCACCTGACCCCGGCTCCTTTATAAAAAAAGTTTTAGGAGCTGGGAACTAGTGTCTTGTATCTGTAATCCTAACTACTCAGGAGGCTGAGATCTGAGGATCATGGTTTCAAGCCAACCCAGGCAGGAAAGTCTAACAACCAACCAAAAAACCAGAAATGGAGATGTGGCTCAAGTGGTAGAGCACTATCCTTGAACAAAAAGAAGCTCGGGGATAGCAACCAGACCTGAGTTCAAACCCCAGGACCTGCACACACACAAAAATTTTTTAGTGGTAGAGTGTTTGAGTAGCATTTTTGAATTTGGATTAGTAGCACCACACAAACAATTTTTTGACCTGTTTTCCTTTAGGATTTAAATTACTTATTTTAATCTAGTTACAAATAAAGGATTTTAGTCTTAAATATTTAATTTTATAAATAGCTCATTTGAAATGGTAATTAGTGCTTTTCTGTTTCATGGTTTTTGTTTCCAGCTGGAAGGCCATAATGAACCAGTAGTGTTGCAGGTGTTTGTGGGCAACGATTCTGGCCGAGTGAAACCACATGGATTTTATCAAGCCTGTAGGGTAACTGGACGAAATACAACTCCCTGCAAAGAAGTAGACATTGAGGGTACCACTGTGATAGAAGTTGGCCTTGACCCTAGCAACAATATGACACTGGCGTAAGTGCTTAGTACAAGCTTTTCTTTATATATTGTATTTTGTCCTGGGCAGAAAAATATCTCGGTTTCTAGTGTAATAGTGTAAAGAAAATGAAATTCTAACACGTTAAGGATTTTACTAAAATGTTTTAGTAATTGTACATATAAAGTGATTACTATAGAATGTAAATGGGTTAAATTTAAATCTTACCATTTGCCAAGGTGAAAGATAAAGAAAAGAAAACCAGGTAGAATGCTGGCTTTTGGAAATTTTTGAACTTATTGAGATTTATAATATTAATATAGAAAGTAAAAGTTTGATTTATTAAATTAAGTATATGTAGTAGAAGAGGAAAGGAAGAGAATACTGGTCATTAAAATAGAGAAAAGCCAGATAGGGTGTTATACGCCTATGATCCTAGCCCTTAGGAGGATGCTAAAGCCAGGTGTATAGCAAATTTGAGGTTAGCAGAGGGTATGTAGAAAGATCCTGTAAGGAAAAAAGCAATAGAGACTGGGGTCACAGATCATTGTTAGAATATGTGATGACTACAGCAAAATCTTAGACCCTAGCTCAAAATAACCAGTGGAAAAAAGGCCTAGAAGCATATCTCAGCAGTAGAGTGCTTCTTAGCAAGCAAGAAACCCTGGTGCAAACTCAAGTATTACTACACATATACCGCCCCCCCGCAGAAAAAGTAAACCTATTCTATTTTAATGTCTATATAAGCTGCAAAAACGAAGTTAAATTAATTGTTTTAAAATGTCTTGGGCGAAAAAAATAAAATAAAATGTCTTGGGCGGGGCTGGGAAGGTGGCTCAGTGGTAGAGTGCTTGCCTTGCATGCATGAGGCCCTGAGTTGATTCCTCAGCACCACATAAGCAAAAATAAATGAATGAATGAATGAATGAATGTATGTCTTGGGGCTGGGAAGGTGGCTCAGTAGTAGAGTGCTTGCCTTGCATGCATGAGGCCCTGGGTTCAATTCCTCAGCACAATATAACCATAAAAAGCTGGAAGTGGCGCCGTGGCTCAAGTGGTAGAATGCTAGCCTTGAGCTGAAGAGCTCTGAGGGACAAAGCCCAGGCCCAGAGTTCAGGCCCCACGACCAACAAAAAAAAATAATAATAATAAAAATTTTAAAAAATGTCTTACAAGGCATTACTTGTATTCAGATTTTAAAATAGTGATTTTTTATTTATTATTTCTTCCATTATAGCAAACAGTTGGTTAGGAACTATGAATGTTTAAAATTTTCCCTTCTGTACTTTGTGACTTTAGATTTTATGACTATATTGCATATTTAAAAATTAATAGATAAGCATAGTTTTCTTTAAAAGAATCTAATTTAATAACATTGTGCTTCATTTACAATCATGTCAATTCATAATTTTTTTCTGTGTTAGGGTGGACTGTGTAGGGATATTGAAGTTGAGGAATGCTGATGTTGAAGCCAGAATAGGAATTGCTGGTTCCAAGAAAAAAAGCACTCGTGCCAGATTGGTTTTTCGAGTTAATATCACAAGAAAAGATGGCTCCACTTTGACATTGCAAACACCTTCTTCTCCAATTTTGTGTAGTAAGTAAGAATATATAGAAATATTAAATGTACAGAGAGGTTTTTTATTTTTCTATCGGTCTCTAAATTTTAGATGTTTCATAGACTCCAGCTTGTGGTCATGTAAAATTTGAAAATCCAAAACTATATTAAATTAAAGAGCTAGGCTTACCTAAGGTCCTAACTATTTGAGAGGCTAATGCAAGAGAATCACGTAAGCCCCTGTGTTTTAGGCCAGCTTGTATGACATAACAAGTCTTTGTCTCTCTTTTTTTTTTTTGGGGGGGGGCTGGTTGTGGGGCCTGAACTCTGGGCCTGGGTACTGTCCCTCAGCTCTTCAGCTCAAAGCTAGCGCTCTACCACTTGAGCCACAGTGCCACGTCCAGTTTTCTGAGTGTTTTATTGGGGATAAGAGTCTCACGGACTTTCCTGCCTGGTCTGGCTTTGAACGGTGATCCTCATATCTCAAGCTCCTGAGTAGCTAGGATTACAGGCGTGAACCACTGGCGCCCAGCAAGCCTCTGTCTCTTAAGGGAAAAAAAACATGTTGATATTATTAAAGCCAACTATAGGTGAGTAGTTGAGATAAAAGTCAGAGGTACATGTAGTTTTATGTTCTCATCATGTATCTATTTTAAAAGTAATTGGAGCTGTGGATGTAGCCCAGTGGTAGAGCCTTTACCTACTATGTATAAGGGCCTGGGTTTGATTCTCTGGCACTTCTCCCCATCCTCCCACCCCCAAAAAGTAATTGAATATGAAAGTAAATTGAAAAGACAAAGGATTTTCCAAGCATCTTCACAGTGTGCCAGATTGTGTCCATAACTCTGTTAGAACTTATCTTAGAAGCTAAGTGTAAAGTATGCAGGATTTTGTAATTAACAGCATTTCAGAAATTCTAACTACAAATTACAGGATTGTAGTATACTGTTGAAAAGTGGAAAATGAAATTCTTTTTTATTATAATTTTTAAAACATTTTTATTAAATAGTTGTACAAAGAGGTTATAATTCCATAAATTAGATTATGAGTACAATGTATCTTGATCAGGGTCACCAATTCTATCATTCTCCCTCATTTTTTCCCTTTCCATCCCTACCTTCCATTTACATAGTTCAATTTTTATGTAATGTATATTGAATATACTGACTTAGGGGAAGTGAAATTTTTATCACTTACCTTGAAGAACATGTTATATGGATGTTTCTGCATTTAAATTCAATTATGTTGTTACAGGGTTCTTAATCATAGTTATTGTTTAGATGATTATACAGGTAACAAATAGGAGAATCTTCTCTTTGTATATGTGTTTGTGTGTATGTATACATATATGTAGTTTGCTTTTGCTGTGTTTCTTCATTGGTTTTGTTTTGCTTTTTTGTTTTGTTTTACAGGAGAATTGAACCCAGGGCCTAGATGCTGTGCCTGGACATTTTTGCATTGGCTAGCTTTCAACCACTTTGAGCCACAGCACCACTTCCAGTTTTCTGGAGATTAATTGGAGATTAGTCTCACAGACTTCCCTTCCCAGTGGGCTTTGAATCATGATCCTCAGATCTTCGCCTCCAGAGTAGATAGGATTATAGGCTAGAGCCACCAGCAGAACTTGAAAAGCTCATTCCAGTTTGGGACCACTATGTACCCTAGGCTAGCCTTGAATTGGACATGTTTCAGTGTCTGCTTCCCAAATGCTAGAGTTATGGAAATATATTACTACATATTGCTTAAAAAAAAATAATATGTGTGGGGCTGGGAAGGTGGCTCAGTGGTAGAGCCCTTGCCTTGTATGCCTGAGGCCCTGAGTTCGATTCCTCAGCACCACATAAGCAAAAAGAAAGCCGAAAGTGGCGCTGCGGCTCAAGTGGTAGAGCACTAGCCTTGAGCTGAAGAGCTGAGGGACAGCACCCAGAGTTCAGGCCCCACGACCGGACCCAAAAAACAAAAAAATAATAATATATGTGGCTGGGTGCTGGTGGCTCATACCTGTAATCCTAGCTACTCAGAAGGCTGAGATCTGAGCCAGATGATCACGGTTCAAAGCCAGCCCAGGCAGGAAAGTCTGTGAGACTCTTACCTCCAATAAACCACTAGAAAACCGGAAGTGGCGCTGTGGCTCAAGTGGTAGAGCGCTTGCGTTGAGCTGAGGAGCACAAGGACAGCACCCAAGCCCAGAGTTCAAGCCCCATGACCTACAAAAAAAAATACGTGTTTGATTTTAAAAGATCAAAAAAATAATTCAGTTGAAATGCTTGTTATATTGCTATGGGCTTTATGTTGTTTATTATAATGTCTTTAGTTTTGTAAATTATTCATCTTTTATGAATAACATCATTCTTTGTTTTAATTAGAAATTATTACACTTAAACACTTTAGGTTAGCAACCATACTGATTTTAAAAAGCAAGTGTACCAGGCACCAGTGGCTTATATTCCTAGCTCCTCAGGAGGCTGAGATCTAAGGATTATTGTTGAAAGCCAGCCCTTTATTCCTTTATCTCTATTAACCACCAGAAAACCATAAGTGGCAATGTGGATTGAAGTAGTAGAGTGCTCTACTTGAACAAAAGAGCTAAGGGACAGTGCCCAGGCCCTGAGTTCAAGCCCCACAACCAACAAAAAACAAACCTGTATTTTATACTCTTTGCTATGCTTAAGATATTGTTGGCCACTTTAAAGTATTATGTAACCTTCATCATCACCTTGCATAGATTGAATTCTGTAGTGGATGAAACTGCAACATGCAAATAACTTTCTCAAGATGACATCACTAGTAAACAGCAAGTCCAGGATTCCCACAAAGCCTCTGCTTTTATCTACTGTGCTATATTGCCACCATGGTCACTTTAATTGTAGCTTTGAGCCCTGTTTTGTACAACCTATTTCATCTAAGTCCTGGCCTTTGAGTGGCTAGAACTATAGTCAACGATATGAAATTATTATTGAAAGAACTATACCTAGACACTTAAAATGTATAATTCAGACATTTTATGAATTTAGAAAGTTGATTTCAATATATATTAAGGAGTTTCATGATTACCAATGTTGTCCTTTCCATTTACTTTTGTGGGTGCCATTTGTTAGGACATGTGTTTTTTTTATTTCTTTTATTGTATGCTTCACACTTGCTATTTGGTTAGAGAAACAGCTTAGATAAGCATTGGCAATATCTTCTTTTAAAGGGAAGAAATTTTAAATAGCTAGAAAAGAATAGACTGAAGATTTGCAACACTTAGAGAAATGATTCTTTTAGGAAATAAAATGTGTCCTGGTTTTGTTGCTTCATATTGTTAGTATGAAAGGTTGGAATTAGAGCCTGGCACCACGGGCTCATTCTTATAATCCCCGCAGCGGGCTCATTCTTATAATCCCCGCAGCGGCTTAGGAAGCTGAGATCTGAGGATAATGGTTTAAAGCCAGCTCAAGAAGGAAACTTCATGAGAACTCTTACCTCCAATTAACTACCAAATAAGGCTAGAAGTGGAACTATGGATCAAGTGGTAGAGTGTTAGCTTTGAAACAAAAAAAGCTGAGGAACAGTGCCTGGGCACTGAGGACAAGAAGCTGCAGGACAAGAAGGGAAGGAAGGAGAGAAGGAAAAAAGGGAGGGAGAGAGGGAAGGAGAGAGAAAAGAAAAAGAAGGAAATGTAGAGATGAGAGGGACATTGGAAAGCAAGTGGGCCCAAAAGAGAAGTAACAGGGAGAGAGCAAACAGGAATTTAGAAACATCTAGAAACACAGTGGAAAAGAGGCCTAATGCCAAGATTCATGCTGGGCTTTGTGGCCTCAAAAAAAAAAAAACTTTTTGTTGCCTTAACAATGGCCATTGGATTCTTTGTCCTTTTGTTTGTTTTTTACATTTTCATGGATCACCTTCCCCTGCTTACAGGAAGAGCCAAAAAGTTACTCCTTTTTTTTTTTTTTCTTTGCCAGTCCTGGGGCCTGAACTCTGGGACTGGATACTTTCCCTCAGCTCTTCAGCTCAAAGATAGTGCTTTACCTCTTGAGCCACAGTGCCACTTCCAGCTTTTTCTGCTTATGTGGTGCTGAGTAATCGATGCATGCGAGGCATGCACTCTACCACTGAGCCACCTTCCCAGCTTTTTGTCCCATTCCTTAAGCTAGAACTTAGAACCTGTCCCTGAGTTCTTTTGCTCAAGGCTAAAGGGTATTAGACTTTGTAATTGTAAAAGAATTTATAATTGAAAAGCAAGTGCATTTTATGTTTTAATCCCAGAATTTCCTAGTTTAAAAAAACAACTTGATAGATAACTTATTTGTTCCAAAATAGATTGTATATTTTTAGGTGCTCTTTGGGATGGGGGTCTCTGGATTCTGTGTCTAGGTACTTACAAATCATCTGAGTAGCACCCATTGCCTTTAGAGATACTACAGTGTGATGATCTAAAAAGCACATGGCCCTAAATTCATTCCCAATACCCAGTAAATTAATTCATGAAGTTATGAAGCTCAATTGAATTTTGTTGTACCCTTATTGGGAATATAGAAAAGAAAGAAAGCCATAGGACTGCTAATTCAGTCTTGGGAAGATTTGCATGTGTCTGCAAAAGCAAAAACGGCTTCTGTATGACACATCTCTACTAGTCCATCTTTAACTGACTGAATGTTGTATGATAGTCCTTCTCCAAAGCAGGAGTAGAATGTTATGGTTTTACCACATATTTCATAAATCATTTCAGTTTGAACCAGCACATAGAATACAGCATTTTTTTTGTCAGTAACTTTATTCTTTTTGCTTTTTTTATTTATTTTTGTCAGTGTGGGGCTTGAACTTGGGGGCCTGGGTGCCACTCTGGGTGACAACATCACTTCTGATTTTCTGGTTGTTAATTGGCAATAAGTCACTTGGACTTTCCTACCTGGGCTGGCTTTGAACTGTAATCCTCAGTTCTCAGTCTCCTGAGTAGATAGGATTAGTCATGAACCATTAACGCCCAGCTTTTTTCCTCTTGCTGTTTAAAAAAATGATTTTTGTTTCATATTTAAAGGCCTGAAACTTGTCTTTAATTCCATCTTTTTTTATACAGAGGGGCTACCATTCAGCTTGTCAGTTAGAAGTACACTGCGTCTGCATATCACCCCTTTTCATCATTCTCCCCTTTCCCTTCCAAGTCCATCCTTCCCTCAAAGGATATGTATTGAATATTATGAATATCAATACATAGGATATGTATTGAGTATTATTGAATATTATATTATTAAATCAATTTCATTTTTTAAAGTATTAAGGTGGAGGGGCTGGGAAGATAGCTCAGTGGTAGAGTGCTTGCCTTGCATGCATGAGGCCCTGGCTTCAATTCCTCAGCACCACGTAAGCAGAAAAAGCCAAAAGTGGCGCTATTGCTCAAGTGGTAGAGCACTATCCTTGAGCTGAAGAGCTGAGGGACAGCGCCCAGGCCCAGAGTTCAGGCCTCACGACCGACCAAAAAAAAAAAAAATTGTATATATATATATATATATATATATATATATACATATATATATACATGTATTAAGATGGAAAATGTTTATATTTATAAACTTTTACCATACACGTAATGAAAAACTAAGATGAATTAAAGTGAAAACATTCAAATTAGTCATTTATCCATACCCATAAAACTTTATGACAGTTGTTAGAAATTAATATGTTAGAGTAAATTTAAGCTTCAGAATAAAAAAAAGTAAGGATCAACACAAACAAGTCATGAAACTAGAGATGTAATTACAAGTTGGTTTTCGAAAGAAGTATTGGTAGTTTTTCTTATGGAATGTTTATGTGTATCTACAGCTCAGCCAGCTGGAGTGCCAGAGATCTTAAAGAAAAGCTTGCATAGCTGTTCAGTGAAAGGAGAGGAAGAAGTGTTTTTAATTGGCAAGAACTTTCTAAAAGGAACCAAAGTTATTTTCCAAGAAAATGTTTCTGGTAAGTAGGCATATTATTCTACAGAGATGTCCCTATGTTTCACTTGTTGTATAGTCATAGCTACAGAGTTAAAAAACAAAAAGAGGTTCAAAAATTCAGTAACTGTTTTTATTTCAATCAGATGAAAACTCTTGGAAATCAGAAGCTGAAATCGACATGGAATTATTTCATCAGGTATAATTTAAGCCTTTTAAAATTTGGTTATTTTCTGATAAGTTTAGTTTTATTCTGAAAATTTCCCAAATCAGTAGATTCTATTCATCAATATATGGGATTGATATAACTCCATTAAACTTTCTTTTCTGAGTTTCTTTAACTTATTCTTCTGATGCCACACATGACAAGTTATCATCAAAGGCTTTCATTGGTAATAAATGAAATTATTTTTATATTTTTTTTCTTGAGGATTTGGATATCCTTAATCTACTAAGTAGTTAAATCAAAGGGAAAATAATATTTATAGAGTACTTACTTATGGGTCACATGCTTTATGTTTGCTAAAATTACTTATATTTAGAAGTATCTTCCTTCATATTAAAGAATCTGATTGAGTTAGCTATGGTGGCCCATACCTATAATTCCACACTTGGAGGCAAAGGCAGTAGAACATCAAGTTTGGGCCCAGCCTGGGCTTCATGGTAAGACCCTGTTGAAAAGAAATTTGTGGTAGTAGTGGTATGTGTGACTAGCTCTATATATTTATAGGATCTTCATATGTGTAAGTGTTATTTTCAAAATAAAAAGAAGAAACAGCCATTAAAAAAAAAGAATAATGATTAAAGAATTAGTATGTAAAGAAAATAAGACCAGACCCATAGAAATTGAGACTAACAGAAGAAAATGCCAAGTTTATGAGCAAGTTAGAAGGCATATGCAGGAGTAGTATATAAAAGTACATATGGCAGTGGGGGTAGGAGGAACAAGCTTAGCATAGTGAGCTAGTGGCTCACGCCTATAATCCTAGCTACTCAGGAAGCTGAGATCTGAAGATCAGGGTTTGTAGGCAGCCCAAGCAGAAAAGTTCCTGTGAGACTCTTATCTCCAATTAAACACTCAAAAACTGGAAGTGGAGCTGTGGCTCAAAAATGGTAAAGTATGGGTTGGGAATGTGGCTTAGCAGTAGAGTGCTTGCCTAGTGTGCATGAAGCCCTGGCCTCAGTTCCTCAGTACCACATAGAACAAGCCAGAAGTGGCGCTGTGGCTCAGCTCAAGTGATAGTCTTGAGCAAAAGAAGCTCAGGGACATACCTAGGCCTTGAGTTCAAGGACTGTCACAAAAAAAAGAAAAAGTGGTAGAGCACTAGCCTTGAGCAAAATAACTTAGGGACAACTCCCAAGTCCTGTGTTAAAACTCCACAAGTGACCCCTACCTCCCCCCCCAAAAAAAGGAATCTCATGGACTTTCTTGTCTAGGCTGGCTTTGAACTGTGATCTTCAGATCTCAGCCTCCTGAGTAGCTAGGTTATATAGAGCCACTAGTGTCTGGCCAAATTTTACTTTAAATTCAGATCAGTTATAGAGTTTTTAATTCTGTTGAAGTAGTATGAAGCATTAATATTAAAATAAGTTTCTTTGGCTTTTAAAAGATTTCAAGTTAGGTTTCCTTAAGTGCACTGTCTGAAGTAAGTAGAATGGTATATCAATAAGAAAGACATATGTGAATTTTAAATGCTAATCCCTTGGCCACCTGTATGTCAGATCATTGGTTAAAAAAAAAGAGAGAGAGAGAAAGAGACATGAAATATAATCCTTGCTTCCTAGTATTCTTTGCATTCCACAAATTTACTAGAGAAGAAGAGAAAAAGTCAAATGTACTTGACTTTATCTTCAGAGAAATGTAGTTTTCTTGAATAAGTGTTGTGAAATACTTATGAGCTCCACCCCATTTTTTAAAATAAAGATTCATTGACCACTAAAATTTTTGATTTCCTGGAGATAAAAAACTGAACTCATTGACTTTAAGTGAGAATTAAAGTGGCTTAGAAGTAGTAAGATATACTGTGATCTACTGTCACATCGAGCTGTACAGAACAAATGGCAACTTCTTTGCTCTTAGTGACATATTTTTTCCTCATAAATTAACTATTATTTAGGCACATTCTCATTATGTAGCCCAGGATTGCCTCACACTCACTTATTCTTTCTCAAACTCATTTATTCTATTCTCTGGTACTGGAAAAAAGTTTTCCCTTTCATCCAACAAATATGTTTAAGTATATTTGTATATGGTATATATTAACAGAGGAAACAGTGAAAACTAAAACAGCGTAGTTCTTCATGGTGCTTACATTCTTGTGATTGGAGAGAGTATCTCCAATCTTGAAAAAGTAAAAAGTAAATCAGTAAGTTCAAGAGATAAGTTCCATTGCAGAAATAAATACTTACATAATCATGTTAAGAGAGATACTACTTTAAATATAATGGAAGTGAGGTGATAGTAGCTCATGCCTATAATGCTAACTACTCAGGAAGCTGAGATCCAGAAGATCATGGATCTAGACCAGCCTGAGCAAAAAAGTCTGAGAGATTCCAACTCCAGTTAACCAGTAAAAGTCTGCTGGAGGTGTTGCCAGGCCAACCATGTGTCAAGCCAGGAGTTTAAACCCCAATACTGGTGGGGGGGAAAAAAAAACAGGATAATCCAGGCAAGCTTCTCTAAGGAGATGACATTGGTATGTAAGAATGGATAAGGAATTTAACATTTTACAAGAAGGAAGAATATTGTAATTGTAGACAACATGAGTTTACTTATTAAAGGAATGGGTTGAAATGGTCAGTGTGCTGGATTGTAGTAAGCTGGAGGAGTCAGTGGAAATAAGATGACATTGACAAGGTACAGGGTGTTAAACATTTTAATTTTTACTTTAAAAGAAATCATGGGGGGGATGGGAAGGGATATGGGAAGGGGAAGCAAAGGAAGAGGCTACAATGCTTGATAAGAAATGTACTCATTATCTTGCCCATGTAATTGTAACCCCTCTGTACAGTATTTTCACAATAAAAAAAAAAATTAAAAAAAAAAAAGAAATCATAGGAGGGGCTGGGAAGGTAGCTCAGTGGTAGAGTGCTTGCCTTGCATGCATGAGGCCCTGGGTTCCATTCCTCAGTACCACATAAGCAAAAAGAAAAAAGCCAGAAGTGGCTTTGTGGCTCAAGTGGTAGAGCGCTAGCCTTGAGCTGAAGAGCTGAGGGACAGCGCCTAGGCCAGAGTTCAGGCCCCACGACTGGACCCCCCCCCCAAAAAAAAAAAAAAAAAAATCATAGGATTAGGTTGGGTGCCGGCGTCTCACACCTGTAATCCTAGCTACTCAGGAGGCTAAGATCTGAGGATCTCCATTCAATGCCAGCCCAGGCAAGAAAGTCCATGAAACTCTTATCTCCAATCAACCACCAGAAAACCAGAAGTGGTGCTGTGGGTCAAGTGGTAGAGTGCTTGCCTTGAGCTGAAGAGCCCAGGGACAGTGCCCAGGCCTGGAGTTCAAGCCCCACGTCCAAAAAAAATAAAGACCTAGTAGAGCTCACTCTGCCCTACTGCTGCCAGAGCCATCTGGTCCCCAAAATCAAGTTCAAAGCCAGCCCAGGGAGGAAAGTCCATGAAACTCTTATCTCTAATTAACCACTAGAAAACTGGAAGTGGCTTTGTGGCTCAAGTGGTAGAGGGCTAGCCTTGAGCCTTGAGCTGAGGGACAGAGCCACAGGCCCAGAGTTCAAGCCTCATGACCAACAACAAAAAAAGAAATCAGAAGACTAACGACCTGGAACCTGTCCACCTGAGCTTGGCGTATGACTACAATCCCAGTACTCTGGCTACATAGTGAGACTTGTTTCAAAAAGAATCCAAAGATAGCTGAGTGCTGGTGGCTCAAGCCTATAATCCTTAGCTACTCAGGAGGCTTAGATCTGAGGATCGAGGTTCAAAGCCAGCCTGGGCAGAAAAGTCCGTGAGACTCTTATCTCAAATTAACCACCAGAAAACTGGAAGTGCTTCTGTGACTTAAGTGGTAGAGTGCTAGCCTTGAGCTGAAGAGCTGAGGGACAGCACGTAGGCTCAAGAGTTCTAGCCCCATAACCAACAGCAACAACAAAAAATCAAAAGATATTGGAGGTATGGTTCAGTTGGTAGAGCACTAGCCAGTGAGTTAAAGCATGAGGTACAGAGTTTGACTCCTCGTCTCAGACATAAACACACCCCCAAAAATAATAAAAAAATAAAAATACATTCTTTTTGTTCTAATCAGAGTTTTTAAAAATTTACAACCAACAGGAACTACATGTTATTCTTTAAACTTAAATACCACTTATTTTCTGACTTTTGTCCTTTTTTATTTCTTAGAATCATCTTATTGTGAAAGTTCCCCCATATCATGACCAACATATAACTTTACCTGTATCTGTGGGAATATATGTGGTGACCAACGCTGGAAGATCTCATGATGTTCAGCCATTCACTTACACTCCAGACCCAGGTATGTCAAAATGAGAAATTTCTCAACTAATGTGAATAATTAATTTCTACATTTTGTTTTCAATTTGAAGATTAGCTAGCCAAAACCAAAAAGTTGCTCACTAAGTAAGATAAATTGATATTAATTTGTTTTGTGGGGGCATTACTTCCTAAAAGATATAATTTTGGCTCTTACTTTAATGGAATCATTTTCTCTCATACTTTAATGATACAAGAGAGGATAGGGCACAATCTTTATCTGCACTGCACAATCTTTATCTGCACTGCCAGCCTCACCCCTTTAATTGTACTTTTATTTTCCTAATAAACCTGTCTTATTTGGAAGGGGGGGTATGGAGAGAGGGAAAGGAAAAGAAGAGGAAAGCTCTTGAGATCAAACTCTTCAGAGCTATCTTGCAAGTTACTTTTCAGTAAAAATTATCGTTCATCTGGGTATGATGGCTCAAGCCTATAATTTTAGCTACGTGGGAGGCAGAGATAAGGGTACAGAAGCTCAAGGCCAGCCTGGCAAAAAATTTCAAGACTCCATTTAACCAATGGCCGAGTGCAGTGGCGAAGAACCACAGTGGCTGGGCATAATGGCATGTGCCTTAAAGGCATAACTTGAGACCCTGCTGTAAAATTTACCAGTGCAAACAGATACTGGCCAAGTTGCTTAAGTGATAAAGCAAGCATTAGGCCCTGAGTTCAAACTCCAGTACCTCAAAAAAATAATGACTCTTCATTGAGTTCCTTTTTTTTCCAGTGTTGGGGCTTGACAAACTCAGGGTCTGGGCACTGTCTCTGAGCTTCTTTTGCTCAAGGCTAGTTAGTCCTCTACCACTTGAGCCACAGTGCCACTTCTGGCTTTTTCTGTTTATGTGTTACTGAGGAATTGAATAGGGCTTTATGCATACTAGGCATGCATTAAACCATATTCCTAGCCCTCATTGAGTTCTTTTATGTGCTAAAAATTGAAAGTGTCACTTGAGAAATCGTTAGATTTAGCTTTTTTTTTTTTTTTTGTCAGTTGTGGAGCATGACAGGCCCTGAGTTTCACTCAAAGCTAGCACTGTACCATTTTAAGTCACAGTGCCACTTCTGGTTTTCTGGTGATTAATTGGAGATAAGAGTCTCACTGACTTTCCTGGCTTTGGACTTAGATCTTCAGATCTCAGCCTCCTGAGTAATTAGTATTACAGGCGTGAACCACCAGCACCTGGCTTAGCTTGATGTTTGTGTGTGTGTGTGTGTGTGTGTGTGTGTGTGTGTGTGGATGATTATTGAACCCAGGGACTCATGAATGCAAGCAGGTATTCTACCACTGAACTACAGCCCTGGCCCTGGGGGTGCATTTTGAGAGGAGTAGGAGATAAATTTGGTGTGGTAATTGAAAGTATGAAAGTGTCAAAGACTGCTAATGAATATTTTAAATAAAATTTTAACATTTAGGTAAAATAAAAGCTTTAGAAATAAAAATATCAGGAACAATTGATGTGTTAAAAGTTTAGAATATATCTGGTTAAAGAGTGACTTACAGTTGGGTGCTGGTGGCAACACCTTGAGCTGAAGAGCTCAGGGACAGTGCCCAGGCCCAGCGGTCAAGCCCCACAACTGACCAAAAAAAAAAAAAAAAGAGTGACTTACAAATTAGTTGCCTGAAGAGGACAAAAGGTAGGAGAGTGTTTTAGAAATGGAAACTCTTTGCATATCACATTGGTCTAGGCTTGGTTTCTGTTACATTTACTCAAGAGGCTAAGGTAGGAGGATCACTTGAGCCCAAGAATTTTAGGCCAACCTGGGCCCTGCCTCAAAAATGTAAAATGAAAGGGGAAAGCAGGCTAGTGGCACATATCTGTAATCCTAACAGTTAAGAGGCAAAGGCAGAAGGATTGTAATTTCAGGGCCAATCTGGGCTATATAGTAAGATTCAGACAAAAAAAAAAAGGGAAACAGATCAGGCACCAACTTCTCATGCATGTAATCTTATCTTTTCAAGAGGCTGAAACCTGAAGGGAGAAAAGAATACAAAACTTCCTCTCTAATTAACCAGCAAAAGTTAGTCTGGAAGCATGTCTCAAGCAAACAAAGCCAGTGCAAGTCCCTGAATTCAAGATCTAAGAAAAAAAAGAGAAACAGTAACTAAAGCAGAGTTACACCTAGTCTTAACAATTACTTTTTTTTTTTCATTTTGTCTGTTCCTTTTTTTTAGTCATAATTGAAATTTGCAACATTGACTATTTTTCACTAGTGTGCTACAAAGATGCAAGATAGTTTATAGCATGAATGAAATTCCCTTGTTATTTGTCACAGAATAAAAGGTCACAAGTAAAAACAATACCAAAAAGGCAAAGTTTAAAATTTAGAATTATTCTGGCTTCAAAAAACATAGGAGAGGGGCTGGGAAGGTCTCAGTGGTAGAGTGCTTGCCTTGCATGTATGAGGCCCTGGGTTTGATTCCTCAACCCAGGCTGAGTTCAGGCCCTACAACTGTCCTCCCCCCCCCCCCCCAAAAAAAAGGAGAAAGAATACTAGTTTATACTCAAAGACCAAGTATTATTTTCTACTTTTTTAATTTCTGAGTTAACATACATTTGAATATGAAATGGGTCTCACTGGAAGTGAAACTGTGGCTCAAATTGATAGAAAACTAGCTTTGATCGAAAGAGCTCAAGGATAGTGTCCAGGCCTTGAGTTCAAGCCCCAGGACTGACCAAAAAAAAAGTTTCATTGTATAAAGCACTATTGACTCATTCTTGTAATCCTAGCTACTCAGAAGACCTGGGCTTTCAATTTAAAGCCAGCCTGGGCAAAAAAGTCCACAATTTCCATCTCTAGTTAATTAGCAAAATGTCAGACTGGAGATGTAGCTCAGGTGGTAGAACACAAGGCTCTCACTGGTACTAAAAAAGGAGTGAAGGGGCTGGGAAAGTGGCTCAGTGGTAGAGCGCTTGCCTTGCATGCATGAGGTCCTAGGTTCGATTCCTCAGCACCACATAAGCAGAAAAAGAAAAAAGCCGGAAGTGGCACTGTAGCTCAAGTGGTAGAGCTCTAGCCTTGAGCTGAAGAGCTGAGGGACAGCACCCAGGCCCAGAGTTGAGGCCCCACGACCAAAAAAAGGAGGGCAAAATGGATTTCATTGTAATATTTCCATACTTTCAGTCCATCAAAAAACAATACTCAAGGTTCCTGTGTACTTAGAACATGGTCCAAAGGTTGGATTGGGGAAAGGACTCAGTGAGCATATCCTGGCTTCACACAGCGCCAATTGTAAATGTTCCTTCTGGAGCTGTACAGCACTAGATTATGCATTTTATGTGTGTGCTCTGTGAACTTAGGTCATTTGCTTAAATGTTAAAGTATCTTTAATTTTGTACTTGAGTCTGAGACACAGAAAGCAAGTTAGACATTATTTTGGCACTACATTGGTGATTCTTATAGGAATGGTATGTTCATACCAGTTTTTGCTGCTATAAACAAATTAGTAATAATTAAATAGTAGAAATTATAATTTTTTCCAGGTATTAGTTCCTATTCTTAAATCTTTGATTTTTGCAATTACTCCCAGCTCAGAAGTATGACACTGGAGTAAAGAGTTTAAGGCTAGCCTGGACAACATAGCAACCCCTTGTCTCAAAAAATCATCAACTTAATTAATTAAAATGCATTGGAAAATCAGTGTGTAACATTTGGACCAGACTTAGTTTATTTAACTTCATCATTTAGAAATGATCTCTCTCTCTTTTTTTTTTTTTTTTTGTGGAGGTGGGGAAATGGGGAGAGTGTCGGTTGTGGGGCTTAAACTCAGGACCTGGTGCTGTGCCTGAGCTCTTTTGCTCAAGGTTATCACTCTACCACTTTTAGCCACAGTGCTGCTTCCAGTTTTCTCAAGGTTAATGGGAGATAAGAGTCTCATGTACTTTCCTGCCTAGGCTGCCTTCAAACTATGAGACTCGGCCTCCTGAGTAGCTAGGATTTCAGGCATGAGCCACTGGCAGCTGGCTTAGAAATTATCTCTTACTGGGCTTATTAAATTCAATGTTGTCATAGAAGATTTAATTGATGTGACTAGATCCCATCAGCTGTCAGGGAATGCTAGTAAAAGTTTTATTTTTTTTTTATTTTCCTAAATATTACCAAATATTCATACTATTACACATTTAGTATGTTCATCACAGTTGTTTTGATTTAACTTAAACATTTACTAATATTTTCAAATTAGCATTTTTAGTATATATAAGTAAGTGAAAATTTTCTTGCTAGTATTCTAATATTAACTGATTTTATATCAGTCTTCTACTGAGCTGATACTGTCAACATGTATAGGTCACAAGGAGGATTTTGTTTTGGTAAGTGATCATACGCTTTGTCACTTGGAGATTAGTGAGTTTTGTAACTACTTGTTACAAAAAAATAATCTCAGCATAGAATTTCTGCCAAATAAGTTAATGATGCTCTATGATAAAATATTCCAATTACAGAAATTTAAGGTTCACATTTCTTAGGATGAATAAATTTAAATAAATACATGAACTTTATTTTTTTAAATAGCAGCAGCTGGTGCTTTGAATATAAAAGTGAAGAAGGAAATATCTAGTCCAGCAAGACCTTGTTCTTTTGAAGAGGCCATGAAAGGTACCAACTTGATTTTTCTCAAAAATTACAATTAGGTGATCCCATTTATTTTCTCTAGGAAACCTTAGTGTTTTGTTATTTTATGTATTTGTAACTCATAGCAGGGTATCTTCCATTTTGTAAAATAAGTATTTGTTTAAATTTAGTGAATGCTCCCAGATATCAGTGGCTCATCATGCTTGTATCCTAGCTACTCAGGAAATTAGGATCTGAGGGCTGCAGTTTTAATTCAGCCCAGACAGAAAAGTCCAAGAAATTCTTATTGCTACTTAACCAGAAAAAAAGCTG